CTTTTTAAGTGGGAGAACTTGCACAATTGGTGACTGACTAAATACTTATTTTCCCCACTGTATTTATACTTCTCATTCAACCACAGTTAAATTCACTCTATCTAGGAGGCTCAGTTTATATGGATAGTTTTTATTTTTTACAACAACAAGCTGCAATGAAAACAAGCAGAAATGAAATAAAAGGAACAACTTTATACTTCTTGACTTTTTTATAAGTGTAAGAAGTAAAAAGTAGGCTGAAAAATAATTACTGAAGTACAGATACACAAAACTTCTACTTATGTAACAGTAACAAAGTATTTGTACTTAGTTACTTTACAGCTCTGGTTGTAAGCCACAAGCATCATGTTAGGATCATTGGAAAAGCTCCAGAAATCATATTTAAAGGTAATAAAAATATTGGTAGTTATATTTTTCATAGAAGTATTGGGAATATAAAAACATAAAATAATAAACTTAGTATTGCTGTAAAAGATGTTTGTATTGTCAGAAAACTTTTGTTTATTAGGGTTAATGATGAAGTTTGTGTGTTTGTATAATTTTGGGGTCACAAGCCTCCACAGATATTTTGCAGGCAAGAAGCAGAAAGCTTTGGTTGCAATTAAATCACACCAGAAATGGTTTCTTTACATTTTCACCTCTCACATCTGGATTTTTTAAGCAATAGTTTTTTTTTCATCTCATTTCTGTTTTAAAAATATTCCAAATCATCATTTTCTACCACTTCTCTATCATCCGGTCGCAGAGGCTCCTGCTCGTCTAACAACACAGACTAAGTAATTCATTTGGTACTTTTCCAAGATTCCCAGGACAAAAAAACAAAAACTGAAACCAGGATAAAAGCAGGTGTATGGTATCCCAATCAGCACATTTATTAATCAAGAGAACACATATCTCTGGTTGCGGGCTCATACATTTATTTGCAGGCCTGTGAACACGAGCAGTAAAACACGCCCCTCATACCCATCTGTTTGCTCTCTCTTGACAAAAAATTACACTTGCTCTGTTTTAATGAGAAGGGGTAATCTGTGGAATCAAAGTGGGCGTGTCACAAGAGTGGGCGTGTCTAAAGCATAAACACTGTGGGTTACGAGGCCTACGTACATGACGGTATCCTTAGACCCTGCTTGACCTGTTTACAGCCTGACCCTGACCCCAACACTAAGGTTAACCAGGAGAAATGTGACCCAAGTAGGGGTCTCCAGAAAACGTGGTGCCGTACAGTAACGCCCCTTTTGTTCTTGTCCAATCAGGTGGTGCCGTAGAGTAACGCCCCTTTTGTTCTTGTCCAATCAGGTGTGTCCCTTTAACAAAGTCCATCAAATCAGGTGTGTCGCTTTAGAATCGCCTTTAGTTGGGACACGCCCACTCGTCCGCAGAGACCCTACTTGGTTTTAGTGGGTGTATCAGTCAGTTGGGGCCGGTAACTCTTCCGACTGATCTGATTGGACGGATTTTCAGCTCAAATCCAAGAAGTTTGAGATGAGAAATGGATTCAAAGCATAGGAGAAGAAGAGTAGAAAGACAAGAAGAAGGTAAGGAGAAGAAAAGTTTGTTGATTGTAACACTGTTTTTTCCACCTGTGACATAATGCGCTCCTTGTGTTTTTGGCAGGATTGTGACGTCATAAAGGTGGTGAACAGGAGTAATGATGAGCAGCCAAATGTTGACATGGTTTGTGTTTAAGTTTATATCTCCTGATTATACCCAAAAACAAACTCCTCCTGTCCATTGTTCTAATGAAGACAAACTCAAATTACACAGCTTCATATTATTAAGCATTCAATAAGGTTTAGCCTGGTTATGAAGATAAACTTTATTAAATCACACAAATGCTTATTAAAAACCACTCCCCCTCAATCTCTCCAGCACCTGCTCTCCAGTTTATGTCTGTGATTTGGCCGGGTCCCAGAGGAACCCAGCTGTGTGGGAAGGTTCAAGGTGATGGGTCCAGCCTGCACTGGTCGGCTCACACCTGCGCTCCCATCCAGGGTGAGTTAGGTCATTCAGACCAAAGTTCATCTGTCCAGCAGGTTAGACTGGGCTCAGGTTCTTGGCTGGGATCAGGTACGGATCAGCTCCACGGCCAGCAGGTGCAGTTTTATCTGGGTCTGATCTCTGACACTGCATGTTCTCATAAGCAGCCTCAGCAGGTTGGCTAGGGGTCAGTTTCTGACTAATGATGTCAGCTGTGAATGCTCCTCAAGAAGTTTCCACCTTGGGCTCTTTTAACAGACCAATCAAAAATAATCTATATACTATATAGATATTCTAACGTAGCTTATTCACGTGACTCAAGCTTCCCTTTAGTTTTTGGCTGATTTAACCAATGGCTTTGTTTAAGTACTTGGGAACATGGGTACCCAAGAACAGATACCAAACATTGGTACCAAGAACATAGGTACAAAGAAACATATACCATGGAACATAGGTACTGGGTAACAGAGGTACTGTACACTAGAAACATAGGTATCAGGGAACATAGGTATCAGTGAACGTAGATACCATGGAACATAGGTACCCGGGAACATATACCAGGGAACATAGGTACGCAAGAGCATAGGTACCTGAGAATATAATTACCAGGGTTCATACGTACCCTTGAACATATACCAGGAAACAAAGATAACAGGGAAAATATACCAAAGAACATAGGTACCAAGGAACATATTCCAAGGAACACATGTACCAGCGAACATATACTAGGGAACATAGGTACCTGAGAATATAAGTACCAGGGAGCATAGGTACCTTTGAACATAGGTAATAAGGAAAATATACCAAAGAACATAGGTACCAAGGAACATTTACCAGGGAACATGAGTAATAAGGAGAATATACCAAAGAACAAGGAACATAGGCACCTGAGAAAATGGGTACCTGAGAATATAATTACCAGGGAACATAGGTACCCAAGAACATATTGATGACTCTTGGCTGACAGTAGCAGAGAAGTGGGAAATTGTTAGCCTCACTTCATGTAATTTATCTACAAAGTTTGTTCTACTAATTTTAACTTATTGATTTATTGTCTTTGTTCAATTATTAGCTCTTCAAATAAATCATGTACATTAAAAAACTTTTTTCCACCTCACCTCCCTTGCAACGTTTGAACGATATGAAATGGAAAAAATATATACATATAACTAAAACTTCTGTTCTACAGCTTCATTTGTGCTTTAAAAACATGAACACATTTTTTTGCTTCTTTCAAGCATTAATAACGTGGATTCAGAAGAAAATCAAGCAGTTCAAGATGTCCTGAACTGCTTGTCTTCTTTTAATAAAAGTAATTCCCAACACAGAGATAAAGCTGCAGCAAGGAGATATTAACAGCTTCACTCCAGAGAGAAATCTGAGGGTTCAGCTGGAAACAGCAGAACAATCCGCAGTTTTCTAAATCAGCCTTTTATTTCTTTGTTAGTCGCTGCCCTTCCTCTTCCTCAACGACAGCCCAGGGACTGGAAGGAGGGATGCTGTGTGCCTGTAGTTTAAGTGAACAGTGATATAGATGTGTGTTTTTTCTGGAAGTGCCGTACCGGGGAGATGTGGAAACGAGGTGTGGCGACGTTTGGGCGGCTTGTTAGCAGCTAACTGCTTCCCTAATGGGCCAATTCTGCACATCCTGCTGCAGTTTGGGCTGCAAGAAAATGAGTTCACTCCGCTGAAGCCCAAGTGCCTCGTTCCCAAAAGTTTCAGCAATACAGACTCTATGATTAGAAGTGATTTACAGCTACGTTTGTTTTATCTTTCTCCGCTCACAGTTTTATGGGCAGATGAAAAGAGTTGAAGCTATTCTGAACTGAACAGAGAGAAAATGAAAAGAACAATATTTGGGCCTGTTTTAAGGTATTTTAACCCCAGATTTGATTGTGAGATGTCATAATGTTTTTGAGCCTGTCTGTGTCTTTCATCTATGTTAGCAAAATATCTCCCACACTCAGAAAGCAGTCAATGCGTACGCAACTGATTAACTGTTGGAGGTAACTCGATTCAAGATAGCTGCCAGAGCAAATAAGCATTAGCAAACACAAAAATGGCTCAGTTCTTCAGACAATGAGCTGATGTTTGGTGTGTTCAGAGCTGGCTTTAGCCATTTTGGTGCCTAGGCGAGTTGAAGCGCCTAGGCACTTACTTCATTTGACTCAATTTTTTCTTATTTCAAGAATCTCACCAAGTAAAATGTTCTTACTCCACTGGCAGAAATGTTTGACTTAATTAGAGTCAAATTTTCAGACTAACAAGACAAATAATCTTACACATTCTGAAAACAAGATGATTATTCTTACACAATCAGTTCTTGTTTAGTAAATCAGTCTGAAAACAAGATCAAAAAGACTTTTTGGCTGATATAAGTTTTTAAAACTTGGTTAGGTGGACAGTTTTTGTAGTGTAATGTTGACGTTTTGTGTTGAACTTTGACTAAAAACACAAAACCTTTCTTGTCTCATTGCTCAAGCTGAGCACTGCTAACAAACAATAACTGAGTTCTACCTGGTATTTTCTGCATAGAAACAGCATTTTAACATGTCCTTTGGTTACTTTTGATTCTGCGCACCTCGACTTAGTCGTAATGCTGTGTTCCAGTTGTATCAGAACTCGAAATCCTGAAGCCGGACTGACGTCAGTTCTGAGCTGATAGCGTTCCAGTTTCAAATATCGGAAAAAGCGTTTCTATTATTTTGCTCTGCAACAATAAAACGTACAATAATAGTGCTCTACGAGGTGTTTTGAGTGTACAAACAGTGTTAAAACATATATTTTAACTATCACTATAAAGCACTACAAGTACGTCTGACGTAATGTAAAATAAACAACACAAAACAAAGCCGCATTTGTTTACATGCAAGACTAGCAACGTTAGCGTTAGCTCAGACTAGCATGCTAGTACACTACATACATTAAACAAATATAAAAAGGGAAAATAAACAAATTACACTCTTTTTTATCCTGCCTCCTCTCTTCTTACTTTCTCTGTTAAATAATGGGGATGGTGCTTGTGTACGTTTGATTACAGCTCAACATTAGCAGTTAGCTTAGAGAAACATGCATTCTGGGAGATGTAGTTTAATGTCAGTGCTGGCTTTAAAGCAGCTTATATTTGAGGTATTTGTGCGTGTTTGAAGTTCTCACAGATCACATAAAATGCCACATTTGACCTTCAAGCCTTGAGTTTAACACGTTATAAATGTTCTGCACGAATCATGCTTTACATGTAAAAATAAACCGTCCAGTCTTCATATTTGGGGTTAAATGGGGTTAGTTCATATTTCCAGTCTGTCTTCCTCTTCTCACCAAGTAAACCCACTTCATGAGGCTGACAGGAAACACAACGCTGCCTTTTCCAGCTGTGGAAAATTCCACGTGTTTCCTCTTTGATTCACAGCTGAGATCATCTCAGCCGCCACAAGATGGTGGCAGAGCCAGGGCTTCTGGTGTCAGAGCTGAGTTTTTAATCATCTCACGTTTCCTGTTTTCCCTGCAGAACGCCGTCGACCCCGCTGCCGGCGAGCCACTCAGGAGCTCGTTGGACCAGAACAACGATGGCGCTCAGCTTCCTGGAGTTCTGGCAGCTGATTGGCTGCTTGGGAGCAAGCATGGGGGCTTCAGCCAATAGAGCGTCCTCACATAC